TTTTTTTTCCTTTTCCTCTTTCTCTCTATCTGTCTCTTTCCGGTATGACGATCTAGTACGACGCCAATCCGACACCGGGCGGTGTCGGCACGACCACCGTATGTTGCGGCACAACAGGCGGCGCCGGCGGTGCTAATGGATGTCCAACCAGGACTGCCGCCGCTGCCGGTATCGGCAGGACACCGGATTGCGGTATAGCTGACGGTGTGCTAACTTGTGTCGGTGGGCCTTCGGCCGCGTGTTTGCGTAAGTGTCGCAGCATGTTGCCCTTCTCGACGAAGGTCTTGCCGCAATCCGGGCAACTGTGCGGCCGCTCGTCTGAATGCGAGCGCCGGTGCGAGACTAAGTGTCCTTTGCACATGAAATCTTTGGGGCACAGGTCGCAGCGGAACGGCCTCTCGGCGTTGCTGCCCTTGTTGTGCGAGCGCATATGGAAGAGAAGATTGCCCTTCAGCGGGAAACTCTTGCCACATTCTGTGCACACGAACGGACGTTCACCGGTATGGCAACGCATATGATTCACGAGATGTTCCTGTAACAGAGAATTAAGAAAGGGACATGATGAATATTGCCTATGATTAAGGAGACTCAATGGATAGAGAGAGAGACGCAATTAAAAGTTATGAAATAGGTTTATATTTATGATAACATTAAAAATAATGCAAAATTTTACGCGATACAAAGAAATCTGTGTATTTTATCCTTTAGCGAGTATTATAAGATAAAATTATCTTTCTCTCCTTCATGTAAACCATTAATATAAACCATGATCAAATATTTTAATAAAATAATAATAATAATAATAAAGAACCCAACGTACCTTTCTTGTGAATGGTTTGGAGCATACGTTGCAACAGTGTGAGGAATCTCCGGTATGTTGACGGAGATGATTATTTAGATGTTCTTTCCTAGTGAACGTCCTCTGGCAAAACTCACACCTATGTGGAGATTCGCCAGTGTGGATGCGCACATGATTCGTCAAATGCTCCTTACGAGTAAATGACTTGGAGCAGAAGTGGCATCGATGTGGCGATTCGCCTGTGTGTTGACGCACGTGATTGGTCAAATGTTCCTTCCGCGTGAAGGATTTGGTGCAATACTGGCACTTGTGCGGTGACTCACCCGTGTGCTGCCTGACGTGGTTCACCAGGTGATCCTTCCGCGTAAATGCTTTCGGACAGTACGAACAGCGGAAGGGCGTCTCCCCTGTACATATTTTGCAAGCGAATTCGCAAGGTTTGAGAAAAAAAATGTGTTTCCGTCATTCAGAACTCAGTGGAGTTATCCTGCACAAGGCGAGTTTTGCCTGACGCAACGCAATAGAGAGGGCACAATATCGAATGGGATAGAAATCGGGGCAGAATTTTCGATACCAAGTAAAAGATAAATCTACGTATCGAACGTATAAAATTTATATCCAAGTTAATATACATTCCTTCTAAAATTGGACAATGAAGATCAGAGGATCAATCAAAAAGCACGTTGTGTTGCTTGGTCTCTTTTAATAAATTAAAAACAAATTTTAGACCTTAATGTAGAATTAAACGATCTAGTTGAATTGCTTAGAATCGCTAAACAATTCATCGTTGCAAGAAATTATTGAATCTTTATTGTTACTCAGGGGAAAAATTCTGTGTTTACAGATATTCGATATTGCCATGTCCTTACGTTACATCGAAGGAAAGTCAGCTTGCACAGCAATATACTACAGTGTACTCTGATATAAGATACTCTCTAAATTTCGTGTATCAAATACTGAAATGCTATCACACTACCATTACTTTAAGCATGAAACTTTCTATTTTGCGATTATCGATTCCTCTCTTGAATCTCACATCTAATCTAATTAACATTCTATGTTAGCTATATATTTGAACTAAAACGGAACTCGAGACTTGTGCCACCCACGATAATGAAGACAAAGTTACAAAAGCTATGGATATTATTTACAAGTCTCCGACAGTGTGAGATATAAAATTTATTTTATATGGCAACTTTGTCGGAAATGCGGAATGAGAGCTGTGAACACTTAAAAATGAACGTTGAAGTACTACTGTTAATAGGAGGCGTGGCAATGAGAGCGGTGTATTAGGCAGAACTGCAGCAAATGTCCCTGGGAGATTCGGTGATGATGGAGCTTATGCGATGATCGTGTTAGGTGTAAACGCGCGACGGTGTAAAACGATAAGTGACGATGAGAGCGACTGAATGAGCGAGCGAGACTTTATGGCGATCCCGTCTAAATGAAAATCAATTCCCATGCAAGTGTCCCGATCCTCAGTTGAATGCGCCAACGTGCAGGGTGTCCCACTTCTAGCGGATCAATGATCGTTAACGATAGAATCTCTTAAGTAACGCCGACAGGTCTGATATTCAAAATAACCGAGATACAGTCTTTGAGTTAGCGAATGACAATGAAGGACTTCCGCGATATGCAAGCTTTAGAATCTGAAATAATTTCGCTTTTATTGTATTCCGATATTAATTCGTTTAATTTCAAGTGGAGCCGCTATCCAAATTCACGTTTCTACTTCAGAGACGCGGAACGATCGCGCACGATATTCTCGTCGAGGGGATAATCGGCTCCAAAGAGCTCGCGAAAGATCGCGCCGTTAAAAAGCCGTGAATCCAGTAGAAGTAAAATAGCCTGCGTGTAAAGCCAGATGTGTGAAACCGGAAGCGTGTGGAGAAATGCGTGTCTCGACTCGCGTTCGATCGAACCACCTAAATGCGCTGCCTGATGTTATATGAGGTGTGACTCTACCCTCACAGTCCCCCCC